CAGAGCAGAGTGGGCACATTCAAACTATTACGAAGGAAGATCTACCAATGCACGGTCCCGGGGCAAGGAAGATTCCGGGTCCTAGAGACTGTCAGTCTCATCCTCCTGATAGTTGGCATATTTGAATCAACTAACTCCTTTGTTTAAATCTCAAGCTTATCAAGTGAGTTTAGCAAATGGCTGTAAGTAGCTGAACCTCATTGATACATTTCTCACTGGAGATCAATACATTGATATTCTGGTTTTACACATTATTTTTTATTAAATTATAGTTGACATACAATGTTCTATTAGTTTCAGGTGTCCAACATAGTGATTTGACAATTCTTTCCACTACGCTATGCTCATCACAGTAAGTATAGTCACCGCCTGTCACCACACAGCATTATTACGGTATTTTTGCGCATATTCCCTATGCTATATTTCTCATCCCTGTGACTTAGTTATTTTATAACTGGAAGTTTGTACCTCTTAATCCCTTTCACATGTTTTGTCCATGCCCCTGATCCTTCCCCTCTGGCAACTGCTAGTTTGTTCTCTGTATTTATAATTCTGTTTCTGTTCTTACTTGTTTGTTTTATTTTTTACATTCCATACATAAGTGAAATCACACGATATTTGTCTTTCTCTGCCTGACTTAATCCATTTAGCATAATACTTTCTAGGTCTACCCATGTCGTCATAAATGGCAAGATCTCATTCTTTCTTACGACCGAGTAACATTCCATTGCATGTATATGTGTATATGTATGTATACTTAAGCAACGCTTAAGTTGTTTCCATTACTTGTCTATTGTAAATAATGCTGCAATAAATAGTGGGGTGTATATATCTTTTTGAATTATTGTTTTCATTTTCTTTTTTTAAAATTTTTTTTTCAACGTTTTTTTATTTATTTTTGGGACAGAGAGAGACAGAGCATGAACGGGGGAGGGGCAGAGAGAGAGGGAGACACAGAATCGGAAACAGGCTCCAGGCTCCGAGCCATCAGCCCAGAGCCCGACGCGGGGCTCGAACTCACGGAGCGCGAGATCGTGACCTGGCTGAAGTCGGATGCTTAACCGACTGCGCCACCCAGGCGCCCCTATTGTTTTCATTTTCTTGGGGTAGATAGCCAGTAGTTGAATTATCGGATCATATGGTATTGCTGTATTTCATTTTTGGAGAAAACTCAGTACTGTTTTCCACAGTGGCTGCACCAATTGACATTCCCACCAGTGATGCACGAGGGTCCCTTTTCTCCACATCCTCACCAGCACTTGTTATTTCTTGTCTTTTGGTTGCTAGCCCTTCTGACAGGTGTAAGATGCCATGTCACTGTGGTTTTGATTTGCATTTCCCTGATGATGAGTGATGTTGAGAATCTTTTCATGTGTTTGTTGTTACATATTAATTCAAATGTGATAATATAAAAATATCCTGAATAAAAAAGAAGCCAGACCTGTGTATATGGTCAATTACAGCTGTTTTCCTATTTTAATGATTGACTAGGGGGGGATCTTATAAAAGGTACTTTAAAAGGAATTGAGAAAATACGTGTATTAACTCTATATTAGATAATGTTGAAAATGTGGGTAATTTTTTAGGTGAAATAGCAGTATCATGATTATGTAGGAGCATGTTGTTATTCTCAGCAGGGGTATATGGGGTATTTGGGAGTGAAGTGTCATGATGTTTGTATTTACTTTCCTTTTTTAATGTTTATTTATTTATTTCGAGGGGGAGAGCGTGAACTGGAGAGGGGCAGAGAGATCTAGCCACCCAGACACCCCTGTATTTACTTCCAAATGAAAGAAATCCAGGTGGTGGATGTATACATGTTCATCATATTATTTTTTGAAATTTTTTACATTTTTGAAAATGTTCACAACAGATTGAAAACATTCTAACCCTTGAGAACATAACAAAAAATTAGAAGATTACAAGAAAATTTTGAAATGTATATTTTATTTTATTTTTTTTTAATTTTTTTTTTTAACGTTTATTTTTGAGACAGAGAGAGACAGATCATGAACGGGGTAGGGTCAGAGAGAGGGAGACACAGAATCTGAAACAGGCTCTAGGCTCTGAGCTGTCAGCACAGAGCCCAACGCGGGGCTCGAACTCACGGACCGTGAGATCATGACCTGAGCCGAAGTCAGCCGCTCAACCGACTGAGCCACCCAGGCGCCCCTGAAATGTATATTTTAGAAAACGTAAGCCTTTTTCTTTTTTTTTCTTAAGACATTATTTTGGGGGCAGTTTTAGGTACAGAGATTTCCCATATACCTACTGCCCTCCACATATGCATAGCCTCCACCATTATCAGTATTCCCCACCAGAGTGGTACACTTGTGACAACTGGGGAACCTTATACTGACACATCATAATCATCAGGAATCCATAGTTTACGTTAGGGTTCAGGTTTTGGTGTGATACAATTTACTGGTGTGGACAAATGTTTACTGGTATGTATCCATCATTATACTATCATACAGAGAATTTTCACTATCCTCCACCTAGTTATTCCCCCCCACCCCCAAACCCTGGCAACCACCGAATTTTTACTGTCTCCATAGTTTTGCCTTTTTTTTTGTCATATCCTATACAGTTGGGGTCATATGGTGTTTAGCCTTTTAGATTGGCTTCTTTCACTTACTAATATGCATTTAAGGTATTTTTATGGCTTGACAGCTCATTTCCTTTTAGCGCTGACCATATTCTATTGTCTGGATGAACCACAGTTTATCCATTGGCCTACCAAAAGACATCTTGATTGCTTCCAAGTTTTGGCAATTACGAATAAAGCTGCTATAAACATCCATGTGCAGGTTTTTATGTGGACAGACTTTCAAAGATTCTTTGGGTAAATACTAAGGAGGATGATTGTTGGATCATATTGTAAGAATATGTTTAGTTTTCTAAGAAACCACCAATCTGTCTTCCAACGTGGCTAGGCCAATTTCCATTCCCCTAAGTAATGCATGAGAATTCCTGAAATGTGAGCTTTTTAATATAGTATTTTGTCTTTGGCAACAAAATGAATTTTGGGGGCACCTGGGTGGCTCAGTTGGTTAAGAGTCCAACTCTTGCTTTCAGCTCAGGTCATGATCTCGTGGTACATGGGTTCCAACCCCATGCTGGGCTCTGTACTGACATTGTGGAGTCTGCTTGGGATTCTCTGTCTCCCTGTCTCTGCCCTTCTCCCACCTGCATTTCCTCTCTCTCTCTCTCTCTCTCTCTCTCTCTCTCGCACACACACACACACACACACACACACACACACAAATAAGCAAACATTGAAAAAAATTTTTTTTGGATATTTTATCTGATTAAATGTATTAATTTACAAAATTACCCTCTGCATAATATTTTAAATGTTATGCTGAGAATAAAGGTAGAGAGCAAATTTTGGAACATGACAGATTGTGGATTTTATAAAAGGCTTGAGGTAGAAATATTAACCTGAGATTTTATCTTCAGATTATTTTTCATATATAAATTGCCACTATGCTTAGGTATTTTTAAAATAAAGGTTAAAATCAGCATTTTAAGTAGCTATGATGTGGTCAGGCAACAACCCTCTTAAAATATTAATCTCTATCATGATCACTTTTCTCAACTGTTGTAAAGTACTTCCTTTCAGAGATCTTAGCGATATTGGGTCAAAGCTAAAATGAGCTAAAAATTTCATTTTCAAAATAAAGACTGAAAATTATAAACATGTAATGTGATAATATAATTCCTGGATCTTTATACAAAGGACTGAAGGATGCCATGGAGAAAAATAATTAATACCAAGAAGTAAGACTATGCTCTTCATTTTCCTTTTTTCAACAATGAAACTTAATTTCTTTTATTTTGTGGGGTTTTTTAAACCAAAGACACTGAGGCCTTAATAAAAGATAGGCGACAGGGACTGCCCTTGTATATTTCAGAGCTCCCTGGGCTTGGTCACAGCAAAGCAGCCCTTCCTGTCTCTTCTGCATCTTTCACCATTTTCGCTGCCCTCCCCATACAGGTCCCTGGAATCATTGCCCTTAGAGATGGTTGGAAAGGCTCCCCATCATTTGAGTTCTTAGTGGGGAAAGGGCAGGGGCACAGGGGCGCGACAATGGCACCTGGTCCACCAGTCTTCCACCTGCCTATTCGGGTGGCACTTTCTTTTCACCTTAGGGACGCTTAACAAGCGGCAGTATCCTCTGGTGAATTTTTGCCGAGTAAAAAAAGAAATGTTTGAGAAATACTGAGTTAATCACCTGACTTGCTCCGTATTTTCTTTTCCAGAAGTCAGGCCCAACTTCTGAGTTAATAGGAGAAAGCGAATCATTTCTATATTGGAACATGAGTGAAGCCCCTTAGCAGTCATGACTGACATCACTTCTCTGGACCTTGATTACATCTCATGCCCTTCACCTTATACATCTCCTCAAATTCCTGAGTCATGCTCTGTTTATGCCGCTGCTCTAGGAGCAAATTGCGGCAAGGACCCAAACAAAATGAATGACGCCAGCGTGGTGAAGGAGGGGTCACGGTCGGAGGGAGCCAGCCTAGCCATCGCGGAGCCCGCGGAGCAGCTGAAGGCGCAAAGGGCAACATGCAAGATCGCGCACTTCTGCAGTGGCCAAAGGAACCCAGGAGCCCCGTTCTTCCTTTCCCTAGACTCCAGATCCCCGATCAGGTGGAAAAAGCTGGATTTTTGCCCTCTGTGTTTGTTTTTGGACCAAACCAAGAAACAGCGACAAAGAGGGAAGAACGGGATCTCTAGAACATTTTCTCCCCCTTCAAGCCATTCTTAATGTCACAATCCCAATAAAATTCGAAGTACAGGATTTTCATGGTTGCAAACAACTGCTCAGGAGAGTCTGGCTTGAAAAGAACGCCCGGCAATCTGCCGCGTTTCTCCCTCCACCCCCCCTTCCCCGCGCGGTCCGAACGCCGGGGGGCGGGGCGGGGAGGCGGGACGTCATGACGTCACAATACCAAAGCGCTGCCGAGTTGTTTTTGTGTTCCCAGCTCTCGGGAAAAGCCGCTGGGATTTCTCTACCTGGCCGGCCCCTACCTGCGTCCGAGGGGACCCGACATCCCTTCCGAAAGCTCTGCCAAGCTGCGCAGCGACGGGAGCTGACATTTCTGAGGCAGTTCTGATACCTATCGGAGTTGGGCAGAGGGAAGCGCGACCGGAGGGACGCAGCCATCAGCGACGGCGGCAGGCCCCGTCCGGGGATCTTGGAAACACTGCGGTCCATCATGAAGTTCCAATATAAGGAGGACCATCCCTTTGAGTATCGGAAAAAGGAAGGAGAAAAGATCCGGAAGAAATATCCGGACAGGGTCCCTGTGAGTGTAATGGGAACGGGGAGGGGGAGGGGAAGGCGATTAGCGGGGATCGTGGGGACGAGGGAGTGTGACGGCAGCCCTCAGGCACAGAAGAAGGGTGGCCCCTACGGTTACTGAGCCCTGGACGCCCTTCACTGCAAGGAGGGCCGGTGGAATGGACCTGGTTGCGGAGCTTTTGAAACCCATCTCCCCGGGGCCCGTCATCTTTAGAGCTGACCGCATCTTTAGAGCGGAGCCTACGTTTGAGTGACTCAGCAGGATTCGGAGATGTTCAGATTGGGATGTGTTCAAAATGCGGCCCTTTTGTGAGAGGAGGATCGGGTTGGGACCACACATCTCCCTTTGAGATCGCAGGGAAGTCGTTCTGGAAATCATTTGATGCAGCGAGGTCTGCGCCCCTCGATTTCTGGCCTTAGATGCTTCTCCCTAAATTGGCTTTGGCCCTCATAACATTGGGTTTGGGAGGGAAAGGTTCGGAAGCCAGTGGATTCTTCCTTTTATTCCATAAGAATTAGAAAGCGGCGGGGGGGTGGGGTGCGCACCACAAGACAGGCCTGGCCCAGAAAACAAGGTCACGTTCTCTGCGCCACGGCCCGATTGCCTCATAGTTCTTGGCTCCAGGGGCATGTGTGGGGGCAGCCAGCCTACCC